GATTATGCTGTAACAAGTTGTATTTGACAGAAAAGGATAGTAATTTGGCTGCCTATGATGTGTCACAGGTAACTCTATCATGGGATTTTGTCGATATAAGATCTTATAAGAGTATACGAAACTTTTAATGCAATTTTCCGTAGAATGTAAAACACAGAGAAATACGAGAAATAAATATTTAGCTGTTGGTCTGACGGCGATAAATAATGACATATCGCACACAGACGTGTTAAAATCGTATGAACGTAGACTACAAGCGTAGTTACAAATTCCATATGGAACACGTTTCATATGATACGAACTAACAAGACAACGATACGAAACTCTGATATGAACGTATCCCGCAAAACAGAGTCCGTACTGGCGAAAATTATACACAGAGATGGTTCACTGCATTTAAGTTCGTTAGGGCCTAGCTAGAGCTAGTCAGTTCGCCTTAGAATTTCCTGTTTCAACATTAGAATGCCCACAGACCTCTGGGATCATGTGAGAAACACGTCGTCAGAAAATGTGCGTACACGCGTCGACTAACTTGACAGCAGGAAGTACACGCAGGCATGCAAGGGGCACTAGGGGACTCAGTTTCAGCGAGTGACTGTTGTTCACTGGTGCAGAATTTAAGCGTGGCTTTTCTTTCGAGAATAAATGTTCACTGGTGTTTTCCTTAGAAAACGAACGGAAGAGGCGAAGTGCCTTACCTCGGAATAACCGATCATTGCGTAACAACCAGCGCGGCAGAGGGAAAGTGTGATCCGGTTTTCCAAACGGGCTCTGTGCTCTTTTTCATACCTTGCTATTATATTTAATGAGGATAAAAATAGCTTGGCTCAAAGCTAATAACACTATTTACCTACGTATTTGATTTACATAGCCAGAAATTATTCCTTGTACACTATTAAATATGCACAGCAACGTAAAAGTTTCAAATAAGTGTTACAAATCAATATTTCATCAAATATTCTATATTTAAAAAAGTTTCGAATAAATCTCGTGATGTGTGTATTTAATACTATGTAGACTTATGACTAAGTTTATAAACCGTGCTATGGTCGAATGAATGGTCTTTCGTTGCCCATGGACAGTGCAATGAATCATTTCAAGGGAAATCGGTAAGATAGATTTCAGCTTCGTGAACAGAAGGCTTTCTATCCGAATCAGAGTCAAAGTATATGGGTGAATTTCAGTCTAATCCCCCATCCAAAATGTAAATCAAAACGTGGTAGCTTCGGAGATGCAACATATGGAGAGGCAGGTAAGACCCACAAACCAACAACGAGTCCTGAGATGAGAATCGGTGACGACGCACACAGCCTTTCTGTTCATTTTATTTATATATTTATCGCTAACAGACATAAGATCTCCAATTACAGGAGCATGTATGCTCTACGAATGCAGTATAACAAAATATGAATTACACACTTCTCAAAACAATACATATACAATTTTAGAAAGTCGTCTAAACTGATTTGTAAAGACGCTCGTTCAAGGCTTAATTCTTCCAGGGTATAATGCACATGTCTGGTGACGTCGTCGTATCACCATGGTGACAATCTGCTTGCTACAGATCGAAAGCGCTTATCTCCAAGTTATCTTTCCTGCATCAATTACTTCCGAACTAGAGCCCTGTACCAAACACTCGATCGATCGACCGACTTCCAGAATTTCGACTCGAATTTCTACTGCAGGACTCGCGCAGTTCTACACTTACCGATTAAAGTCATCATCTGTGAGATATTAACCATTGCCTATCACAAACTGCGTCTGGTCTATAAGATTATACTTTAGTGCAAGACGGAAGACAAATTTTGTTTGCTTAAAAAGCGATGTTGGCAGCACAGAAATAGATCGAGGATATAAACAATACAAACCCCCTCTTTACTTCATGTCCCCTCAGTTTCTGTTCTTCCCTCAGAAAGGGCGACTAAGTCACGGAATTATTTCACTGGGAGGGGAAAGTTGTATTTATTTAATAATGTAGTGGCAAAGAGCGATTCTGTAGTGGAAAAACTTGAAAACATGCCACGGTCGACCGAGTCAGAAAATCCTCTTTGAAGGATTACGACTATCTTCCTGGAAGCTCCGACAGCCCTTACTGCAGAGCCTGAAGCCCCCAGTGCAAGTTTCCCGATTTCCCCTCACAAGTGTTTGCCTCAGGAACATTATCATACTTGTCACAACTGGTTCCTCGCTGTCGTTCATGTAACTGAGAATAATCAAGTTAACTGGCTTCATTTAAGACTGTTCAATACTGGACATTTACTCAAACATTATTCTTGCGTGTTCCTCAGAAATCTCACAACTTCACTGACTTTCAGGGTTTACTAGTGTAATAGAATAGACTGAGGTAGTGGGGGCTGGTCTGTCGGAGTTCGGTTCCCGGCAGGTTCAGAATTTGTCACCTCGTCGCCACGGTCTGACCGACTCAAAAGTCTCACCCAGTCTCATACTCACTGTGTACCGGAGGTAATGCCGCGGGAAACGTAAAGCTGACGAATAAGTGTGATATGATGTAGAGGTTTAGAATGTCTCGAGCTATACCAGCACAGTCCTTTACATTTCCATGGCTTGATGCCCGGATACATGGTCGAATTTACGTACTCTAAAATTAATCAATTTAAACCAGAAAACAATTTAATTTCTTGATATGAATTGATGCTATCCTCGTGGTACGCTCTCGGTGAAGTCGTTATATACAATACTTAGTTGCACAAAACTAATAATTTGGTATTTTCCCCAGAAATATATATTAATAGAAGTTACACGCTTCCTACAAAGCACTTGAGAGCATGCAACTGTAATTTGTTTTAAGGTAGTTTACTAGATCAAAATTCTTAACCTTGGGACTACATGCGGGCAGGTACCTTAAAGTTTTAAACCCTTTCCCGCCAAAAAAAAATAGAGTACAATAACACCGGTACCTAGGCCACTCGATAAGGGACCAGAGTTCAATTCCCGGCAGGACATAATTTCTGTCTTTGCCATAACATCGAGATCGACTCTGGGGCTGATAACAGAACTACACAAAAGTGAATTGTTCTGTACATGTGTATTTAATGTTTCATAAATACAGTGTTACATAAATAGCAGTGTTTTATAGTTTATTTTATCTAACTAGAACTGCTCTTCCACGAATTTAACATTTTCAACGAATCAGCAAATTGCTGTACTTGGTATAGTATATCTGGTATATGCACCGAGTTTATGGTATGAATAATGTTTAAACATTTACTGAGAAATATCTGCAATTAGTACATGTAACATATTGATCGAATTAGTAGACCGGCGCTAGCCAATTCTGTTAACGAATGAATCTGATCCTGCTATCACTAAACACACACATGGTCGTATCACCGAGACTACTTGCATAAGCTAAATCCACCTCATAAATTATCTGAAACGACTTAAGCGCGTTATCATCCTTCCACCAGGCACAAAATATTTGCGAAGAACAGAAGGATATCCTACCAGTAAAAATTTAAACGCAACCCTAAAAGCGTCCAGATAAGCACTTCTTCAGAATTGATACAGATAAGAAGTATCTTCGTGGTCATTTTTCTTTAAAGCGTGCTACAGAATTACCCATATTTTCCAATAAAAATTATAGGATTGACTATAATACAGGAGTGTAAAACAAATCGACGAGGACCATTTCCTTTACAGGGGATCTGAAATGGTACGATACACTAAGAGAATAGAATTTTAATTGAACATTATTCGGTACACACTGGTTTAAGTGGTAAACGGCAAAGTCGCTATCACAAAAACCACGTTACAGGGCGCAATTTTGTACGTCTGTACGATTACGTATTAAACCTATATGGCCTATACGTTTTATCTTAATTTTCCCGTTGCCTAATTTCGCTCCATGTTGTAGTTCATTTTTTCCCCACCTCTCATATTTTCAGCGTTTTATTTCTTACGACACGTTGATCTCTTCTAATTACTCTAAAGAACAATGCGTTCTGCGCCCTCTTCTGCCCTTTAACAGATGCATATAATACTCTGAATTGTCAGAAAAGTTAATTTAGTAGTTTGTTGTTAAGATTTGTAAAGGATGTTTTAAAATAAGCTACTTACTCTCACATTTAAATTACTGCAATATTAAAAACAAGATTTTCACTTCTCTTCCTAAATACATGTCACTTAGTAGAGACGTATTTGTTTTCGCATTGTTACATGGCTTTAAAAGCTGGTATAAAAATGAGATTTCACGAGAACAGATGTGTTAGTCAAAACAATGGCAAAGGGGAGAATAATTTCCGTATCTATTGTATTTTGTAACTTATTTATCACGCTGAAAAATATTTATTCAAACGTTGCGTAGGTTTACTATAACGAGAAAAGCATTTGTCAGAAATTTTATGAAGTTGAACTTGCGATTCAAATAGTAGTTATAAATGAAAGAGATAGTCTAGGCCAAAATTAACTTCGCCCAATATCAAATTTCATTAAAATCTGAGAGGTAATTTTGGAGATGACACGTGTAAGTAAGCGGGTGTGATGATACTTCTAACGGTTTGCAAGAATGCATATATATATATATATATATATATATATATATCTGAAATAAGTTATTATCAAGAGAATTGAGGCAAATTAAGTCAAATAGTGCTTCTTTCCACTTTAGTATTTGTGTAACATCGACGCTCAAACATATAAGAAACCGTTTTTGACTTGTTTTTAAGCCACAAATGTTTCCACTCGATTATAAACCACTCTGTATTGATAATACTCGCACAAAGATCATACACGTATTTCACAAGCCGGTCACATCAACTGCAAATATTACGCTCCCCATTAAAGAAAATTTAACTTTATTACAACAAATTTATTTAAATATATTTCGCACATATGTGCATTTGCTGACTGAATGTTGACTATGTGCTGATGATATCAATCTGAAAGCGAAATGATTATACAAGAATCCTTTTCTGTATTATAGACTACTGATTTTGAATTTACATACAGGCTTTAACCCACTATCAAACGGATGTACTCACCGGTCGACGACTCCATGTTTGCGCAAGATAAGTTGTCATCCGAAACGTCGAGCCGCTTTCTCATTTATGGTACTTGATGTACGTGGACAAGTCACCATCACTGGCCAGCTCTGTCACCAGGCAGTACATCGGCCCCCGACTGCAAAAGACAGTAAAATCTTATATCTGAAGGAAGTCATTTGTTGTCTTCAATGTTTCGTTTTCACTGTGCCCTTGCACAAATACAAAGCGGTTCATTCTGACAGTAGTTTGTGAACACGTTTGTAAATGGGAAATGAAATTTAATGCACAAAAAGCAAAGAACACATGACGATAGAGATACGCTAGAGCTAGTATTGAGAACACAGATCTCAAGGAATAACATGCATTAAATAAATGCTTTTTTTACGGTTCTGTTATTAAGGAGGGAGACAATTTTCACGAGCTTAAAATGGGTTCCGAAGGAATGGGCCACGTCATAATGTTTACTTGAGAATGCAAGCACATTTAATATTCTTCTCTTACGGTAAAAAGCATGATTCACAAGTATACCAAACAGAGGGTGGGGGGGAGGTGTTGAGAGTACAACATATGTGTTCTGAACAGCGAATAGAAAGACATTTTCTAATTTATTCTTTTATTAATTTTAGCGAGAATTTCGTTAAAATATTCTTTTCCCATGTAGGAATTGTTGTTGTTGATAACGTTCAGTCCTTAATCACCGAACCATCTCTTGATGTTGAATATATATGCTTTCAGGGAGGCACTGGGGGGCTCAGAATACAAGGATGTTAAGCACAGGTGTTAAAAAACATCCGAATTCGTGAAGGATAAAAGTGTTGGTAGATTTTGCCCTTCGTACGAGTGTGCCAGAGAAGTGAGGCGTGAAGATGCTCGTATCTTCACGCTGACAGTTTCCGGTCTAAGAGTGAAATCTCCGTGAATCGGGAAACCACAGCAGGTGCTGGGGGCTTCACGGCGACGTCATCGTCTATCAGTCACGCTGCTATTCAAGGGTGTACCTAACAAATTAGCTTCACCTTGAGCGTGAAGTTTCTCGATTATATATTGAGGTTAAGATCGTATGTAAAGAAGTCGACGGAGTTCCATCCTGCTAACCTACAATTTTCTGATCATTGCACTATGTAACAAGTAGAATTGTTTCGTTTGCAGACATAACATTAAAGGTTCGCATCATTACCTTGATCATTGTTTGAAATTAAACTAGAATTATTGTCTGGTTTAGAAGAAGTCGAAGGTTCAGTATGGCTGCACAAACACTGATCTCGTAAATTCAATACAAATTTCCAGAACACGTTTCTTTAACACGTATTTCAATATCCACCAACCATTTCTCGGTTTAACAAGTTGCTGCTTTCTGCGACATTCCTTAACAAATTGTGTTCATCTTTCTGTCATCCAAGAACGTGCACATCTCACTATATTCCGAGAATACTACAATAAAGCCCTTCATTACTTGCGGATTCTCATGGATTGTGAAGCCGTGTGTAGTCTTGCAGGTGCTTACGGACTTTTCGAAATAACATATCACCTCTATCTCAGAAGAGAGAGGCGATAAATTCCCCTCCATAAGATCACAGCCGATGTCGTCACAGGTGCGAGGACCAAAAACCTCCAAATCACGTCATTACATGCGCCAAGTAGTTAGTTTGAATCGCCTTACATTATCCAACATTCGAGCTGCTGTATAGTCTTATGGCAGTACAGTCTGCTGTTTCGACACCAACTGATTGTGATGTTGCTCACAACATAATTGCATCGTCATGTATATTATCCCGTACGCCAAATGTAATGAATCAGTATCCAAACTAAAGACTGAGAGGCCGTAACCCTCCCTGGGGAAATTTTTATAATACTCTTGTCTGGCGTGTTTTGGTGACAGTTCGATGCATTATTTGGCTAGGAAAATCATTACATTGAGTGGCAATTTCCCCTTACAAAACAACACACTGCTTTATCCAGAGAATGGAGACAATCCCTAGCTGAGCGTCCCGCCTTGTCTAATATGTGAAATAGCAAGTCATTACTTGGTTTCCGAGTCTGGGATGAATTATCGACTGGCTCTAAGAAAGACCAAAAACTTGGATGGAACAGTAAATCCATTAACATATTAAACTGATTCTAATAACAGTAAATAAAGAGCTGCCCCATGTTTCAGCGCCAAGCCAAGGAGGAGTCGAAGCGAAGCTCTATGTAGGTGGACTATTAGATTCATGATTAGGAAAATCTCAGGAAAAAAAAATGGACTGACCAGTAATGAATACATTCAGTGTTTCTTAGTCAACTAAATAGATAAAGTGCCCAAAGATCACCATCTGGAGAATGTAGTTATTTATTTTTTAAGTACAAAATCTCAATGCGCTATAAACATAAGAAAACATAACACGCTAGATCCCCGTAATCAAGCGAATTCCCTGTACACCGCAAAGTTTGATCTACAGTAACGGCCGACACACACTGTATCATATTGCCCGCTTTTGATGCAACGTGCTGATTCTGTGTAGCCAGGAGATCTCATCACCCCAATAAAATACGAAATGAGCCTCTCACATCACGACCCCACACCCTCGCATTAGAGATGCAATAAGGCTCTCCCCACCAACACCCTAGCAAAGCGAGATCAAAGTGCTGAGTAATATTCGGTGAAGGTTTGGAACGAAACAGCTGCAGCTGATAGGAACAGTCGCTTCCCCCCCCCGCCGCCCCACCCCGCTCTGCGCAATGCACCACCCTCTGCCATATAGTTCATATTATAACACAAACCTGCATCAGCTCACATCAATGTGGCACACGAAGGCTATCTATGTCTGTATAGAACCTTATTCTGTACGCAGGGTTCTCCTTTATACGTGATGAAAACGGGGGGTCAAAATATACACTCATTATTACATAAATCTACTAAACCCTGCATGGCATTTTATTTTCATCTCATTGTCCATGCTAACTTTACACCTTAAGCAGGCCAGCTGACTTTGGCAGCTTTCAAAGCGACACTCTGTTAATTTAAATTGTGTCAAATGAAAGCACAATGCGGAGATCGAGACTGTCCGTCAGTATGTTTCATTTCCGAAGCTTCTGAAAGAAATTCGATTAAAATTCGTGTTGAGAATTTGAACCAAACATCCGCCGAATTGCTTTTGAACATTGAAATAATACTGTACTGGATACTACCCGAAACTCGTACTTCTTATTTCCCAAAATCGAAAGTAGTCCACAAACGTGACACAAACCAGGACTTGTGAGATGATAGAGTCACTAGTGTCACGTAATATTTGTGCAGGGTTCTGAGATGATGTATGGAAACACATACTCGAAAAAAACAAACAAAACTTTCGTTGTGGTAAGTTTTTGTATAATGTGAAACAACATGACGGCTGCGCGAAACAACAGAAGAATCTCGACTTATATTTGCTCGTATGACAACACTTCGCATAAATTCGAATTTAGCATCTAATGTACTAATGAAGCTAATTTTAAGAATTCTATAAAGTAAAAAATATTAATAATAACACGTAAACCCAACTGTTGGCCGAGATATGAGAGAAGAGATTTATAGATGGATAAAATTGTTCTGTATAGTAATTGTGCAGTGCAAAGGGAAATGAACATACAGTCCTTTAAGCTGTAAAGAGTAAGAACTTGGTTTTAAGTGAATATAGACTTTTGTAAAGTGATTACAGAGCAAATAAAAATACTTATCTGTCCGTCTGTTTGCCCCATTACTTTTGAGCTTGAATTACCAGTTCGGCTGTCGTTTGTAATATTTCTGAAAAATATGAATGCGGATTATATCTGCCAATTAGAACTTTCACTTCAATGCCGAAATAAACTTTATTGTTCATTCCACTAAATGCACGCCCAATAGTGTAACGTTTTAGAATCAATTGCGTAAACGTTTTATATAATTACACACTTTTCAAAATGATGGCATTACGAGATATTAAGACGTTTATAAGAGCATCAATATATGTCTCAAGTAAGAGCCCATCTTTCCGTATGTGTTATAAAAATTCCTTTGCTCAGTGAAAAAGTGATTTCTGTAAACATTATGCGCACTCAAAATATACTTATACATTAATTCTAAGTGTGAATATACATTTCAAAAATTATTAAAACAAAACTGCATTCCATAAATTAGTAATTAAAACATAATTTCAGATTCTTACACCGACCTATAATGAAGGCATAATATTACCGGTATAAACAATAATTACCCTACAGATATTGTTCATTTTTAAAGCTATATTCTTCAAATCTTCGCAGGTCGTCTTTTTATTAATGACACAGTGCCTTGCCATAGATTTATTGCGTCTATAATAAAGCATTTGATGATGCCATAAACTGTGTCGATTAATTAAACATAAACCAGCATTACGAGCTTGTGCAATCTAAACTTTAGCAATTAAATCCGATAAATATAATGCGAACTATGAATAAACGAATGTATGCCTAATTCTAACTACAGGAAACACTGTTTTATGATGACAGTAATCTACATATCAGATTAAGTCTTTAGGAAAGTAGTTAATCTGACTTTAGTACATTTTATAAGTTGCGAATGGAAACACGTAATGGTCTCACGAGTCATAAATATACAACTCAAACAGAGTTATGTAAAACTGCTTTCCATATGCGCCTAGTTAATGGCTTATAGTTGGTCATGGCAGACAAAACGTCTTGAATAGGCCTCCCTTCCAATGTTCCAAGCAAGTTCATTTATTATTTTTATTCGAAAATAAGGTGGCGCCGATCTGCAGATATGACGCTTATCAGTGAAATTTACACTCTGCTATAATTCACCGCCTTTATATGGGGCCAAAGTAGACCAGGATGATACACGCGATGTATCCGCTCTATGCAGTCGCAAACTACAAATACAGTACAGTCACAAGTAATATGAAATCTCTCTTCAAGAATATCTGAGCCAAAATACGTAGCTCCGAAACGTCGGTAACCACCTACAAGACCACACGGCGTTACAACTGAGAAGCACACAGTGGATAATAATGAAGTTTTTCGTTAGTGGAAATTTGACGAGGTTTTCTTAATTACAAAGACTAAACATAGTCGAAATATATGAAAATTTAAGTTACGAAATGGAAAAGGTGTAACCTATTTAAGTGCGTCAGCACGTCTGCA